GTTGATCATAGCTCCGTCCACCCTAGGGCAAACCCTTCCGACGGTAAACTTGACCACCCTTCTTTTGACTGCTCCAAACCATTTTTTCCGCATTCCAGAAAATTTTTGAAGAGATGAATTTTTGGCTTTAGCCCCGCTTCCATGTGCCAGCTCCGCCCCCTTCGAGGACCTAACTACATTTGTTCCAATTCCTCTTACCATTTTTTTCCCGCATTCCAGAACGTTTCTGAATAGAGTTATAAATTTTTGANCGCCCACTTTGGCGATAGCCCCGCCCACTTCGAAAATTTGACCACATTTGTTCCATTGCCTCTGACCACTTTTTTCCCGTATTCTAGAACGTTTCCGAAAGAAGTTACACTAATTTTTAAAAAGTAGCTTTCATCTTAACGCACGCCCCGCCCACCGCGGGCGGAGCTTCGCTAAGCTTACGCATGCCCAACCCGCGTAAGGTCTTGCTCACTCTTCTTGCTTTTTTTCCTGCCCTCTACGCCTTCGTTGAATCGAGTTATGAATCTCTGTGAAAAGTACCGCCCACTGCGAGAAGGCTCCGCCCACCGCCAGTAAGCTTCCTTTATTTTAGTTGATGACCCATCCCTCACCTTTGGACATTTTTTCCCGGCGTCTGGACTGTGATGAGACCGAATTAGAAGAATTAGTCCATGACCCCGCCCAATCCTGGCGCATGCCCCGCCCCTTGGGGGCGGAGCTCCGCCAGGCTCACATGTGCTCTGTTGCACTTACCCTATGCTCAACTCATTCCAAACTTGACCCGACTTCTCCAGGTGTTTCCTCACGTTATATCGAATTTCCGTACAAACAGACAGACAGACAGACAGAGCGCTTTATATAGTAAGGATTAGTTCAAGAAACGGTGGAAGGCGGCACACTCATTACGTGACCTCAACGAACTTCTCGGCGATGGAACAGTCAGCCAAAGCCGAATAAAGAACGGAATTTGCTTCCACGGTCGTCCTATTCACCAACAGAAACGCCTATGAAATATCACGCTGATCGCTCGTTGAAAAATTGGTTAACGAACAGAAATTCCGACGAAGTGGATGGCTTGATGGCCAATGCCAAGGCGTGATCGCCTCCAAGAATCGGATCTCCTTCGCCTGTGGAATCCGACCGCCTAGAAAATGAGAAGCAGTAATTGACGTAGATGGTGGATATGTTCCGGAGCAATTGTTTTAACATGCCTTTGGTAAATATTTCTATGGTTTCTTTAAGCAAAATTTACTGAAAAAAATCCGCAATAATTATGCATCAACCTAATAGTTGTCAATGTAGTTGCTAGTTCCCAAACAGAGACAGTGGACTGAATGCTGCTGTTTCCCCAACTTCTTTACGAGATTAACTGACAATGTGAATTTGTAAGAGCTCAAATCACAATTACTTGAAAATTACAATGTAAATTTGTAAGAGCTCAAATCACAATTACTGAAGATCCGAAGCAGCCATGCTCATGATGCTTCTAAACAGAGGGTGGCATAGCCTTGGGTAGAGTTATAGTGCGAGCTCATGCCAAATTCCAAGACGGGAACTTTTGTTTTTTTTTTTCACAGCCTCACTCAGAGGGGCCAGTAGCAACAACGAACTATCTCTCCAAACCATTGAAAACAAGATCCTCGAAAGGCTCTCACAGTCCGTTGAAGCCCGGATATCACTCTGGCCTGAAAAAAACTCACACAACAGAATCACGTCTTCCAGAGTTAACAGTAGAATAGTAAGCGAATCTTGAAATCATTCAATAAGTTAGGAGCATCAATATGGGCCTGGGAGTATCAGAGATATTCTGTAGGCGATCTGGAATTTCGCCAAGAACTCAATAATCGTGATAGAAAACAGTTATGCATGTTTAGCGTAACAAAGAGAATTACGCCAAAAGTACAAAAACAGATAATGAAGAAAGTATGAGCAACATCAGTAAAAAAGCTATTGATGTACGCACGTGAACGTTGATAAGGAAAATTACAGGAGCCCTTAGTTGACGCCCGTGCATTCAAAAATAATTAGGAAATGGGTTCATAAGAAAGTTATTCATTGTTAACTACATACTCTCTGTGCTAATATAAAGTTCCAAATGTAGTGACTAAGCGGCTTCTACAAGTTACCCAAAATAGAGGCTTACTCGAGAATTACAATGCAGAACGTGATACCAAGAAGTAATCGCTGAAATAATCGCTGTGATGGTCAAAGGCTTTTGTATCGACAGAGGGTCACAAAGCAAGTCAGCAAATAGCCATTGTCAAGTTCAGGACTCATTGTCGTCGTTCTCTGATTCCCACGTCTCAGTGGTTCACTTTTCTAATATGGAGCGGCCACGAGGTGATCATATTCAGAACAAGTTCGTTAAAAAAAAGAGTTGGAGTGAACATAGATACATAATGCAGGCTTTCACCAACGTTTTTTGAAACGACTCTTTTAGGTGAAAATCTAGGTGGAGGGAGTCACTGGCTGCTTTCATAGTCCGCGTCGTCGTCCTCGGCCGGCCCGCGAGCGCGCCGGCCGAGGACGACGCTCACCACTTGTTTGCAACTGAATTTTGATCGGTACCGCAGGCCGAGTAGTCCCGCAGCCGGCGCGCGCGCGGACCTGCCGGCGTGAAAACTCCATTTCCCTGGCTCAGAATCGTGTCCAAGTACCACTGCATGCAAGCTTACAAAGCAGGTCCCTGTCTTACACCGCGCTCTGGCCAATAGCGTTGGAGACACAAAGCACACTGAGGCGGTCCATTCCGATTACACTTCCAACTCCTTTATTGATAGGAAAGAGAAAAATGCCAATTCAAACCAGAACTTTTTTCGTTCCTAAATTCGTGACGCGGAAGAGTATAGATTGAGCTCCTATACGGTGGGAACCCAGTCAGTCATGTCATTGAGTAGGATTTGCAGTAGCAGTTATCTTTTGCCTTATAATACAATTTGAGGTGTTTTTCTACATTAAATAATAATGGATAAGTCTGTGTTCGTTGATAATCAAAGGGATGTGCCTCCGCACTCGATATCCATTCAGAATCGCAGTGGCGTATTGAATGCGTATGCGACTTATACAATGACTTGCTGTGGCCAGCCGATGTACAAGTCAATGCTTTTATACTCCCAGACGAGTATGCCACTATTTAACCGACTCCGGAGGGATAGAAGGCTTGGTTGACCTCATCTTAGATCGATTCAGGATTTTTCAGGTCGAAGATATTTGATCAGATTGTACTCTCAAAAAAGCCCATGTTTCTCAAACCTATTGGAAGATATAATAATACAAAATGTCAGACATTGACTGAAAGCTAGCAGCCCTATCATCCATCACTTCGAATAAAATGGTTGCAGTGTGGAAGAGATAACGCTGAAGTACTGTGAGCTTACTGAAACTGACCGACCCAAATGCTTGTTCTCCTCCTCTGTCGCACCTTAAACGTCATCGCGCTATATTGTTAGAAAACTTGATGCTTCACAGAACTGCATGGAATTGATGGAATGATGGCAATAATCAACGAGGACCGGATCGAATGAGAGCGAGTACTTACCTACTCGTTTACCAGAGTTGAAATCGTGTAAAAAGTATGTAACGAATGGCAAAACGATAAACAACTGTATAATAGGTCTCATAAAGTCTGTTAGCAAAAAGAAGGGGTTAATCTGAAAATACATAGATTGATTTCCAAATCCGGAAGCGAATGAGAATGGAACATGAGCATAATGGACGACACATGAAACATTGCACAACTTGATCTCAAGACTGGCAAAGTTTTCGCAAAAAATAGAGATGGTTTAGATAATAGAGGACCAAGGTTATATAACGTTGTGTGTTGGGTGAAAATGTAGTTGGGGGGGGGAGGTGCCAGTGCCCTTTTGTGCTCTGCGTCTCTTCATTTCTTACCCCATCTTATCATCTCACCCATCCCGGAGCTCCTCCCCTAACTTTTAGAAGGGGAGGAATCCATCTCTGCGACCTGTATGCACTCTGCCGCCTGTGTCAGGGACGCAGAACACAAAAGGGCGCTGGCACCCCCAACTACATTTTCACCGTGTGTTTAATTACCCCTTACTGATAAAGTTTTGGCGTTGATCATTCTCGTTATTGGGGTGTGCCCACGCCTTCGACTTCTATTCAGAATCCTGGGGGCATATTGTACACGTGTGTGGCCTACACAATGCATTCCGGTGACCAGTCGATATACAAGTTAGTAATTTATCCTTTATGACGAGTCTGGTACCAATTCACCCCGGATGGATGGAAGGCTTATTTGGCTCTGGAATATTGATTCGGGATTCGAGCGTGTGACTATGCCTGTGTGGTAGGCGCCATTTGCCAATTTGCCACCTCCGTCCTTTGTGATGATTAACAGCGGTTTGTGCACAAACTTCACGAAAATGCTGGGTTTTTCTGTGTTTTTCAGAATTGGCCGTACTTCACGTAGTAGACCGCGAAATTGAGGCTCAGATATGAGGTAAAACTACATTACCGTTTACCGATCACAGACGCGGAAATCGGAAAATAAATCCAGCTTCAGTCGAATAGAGGAGGAAACAGAGTCAGACTCAAAGCTGAAAGACTAGACTATAAAGTTGATTAGTTTAAGTACCAATTATTTTGTCGGTCAATGAAACAGATGAGCGTTCTGAAGTTATTGAATATCGAATGGGAATATAGATCAAAACAACAGTTTTCTCAAGAGTCTCTGCGCTGTGGCTTCAATAAAATGGAAAACTAATGACATTTATGCGGGAAGGCGGAATAAATTCTGAAAATAGTTGTCAATTCATTGCAATTATAGTTCTCAAGATAACCGTTTAGTAATGGTAGGTGTAATATAAACCGGTCAATTATGTAGGATATAGAGGCACACCATAGTGTAACAGACCACGAGGAATTTTAATACTGATCATCGGCGTTTGGTTTTCGAATGTTTCGTGGGGAAAAGTTGTTTCACAGTCGAAAGTCACGGGTAAGAAAGTTAAGAAACTCAATTGACTTACTTTACTTCATGCAACAGTTTAGTAGCCACCAGGAAACGTAAGAATATAAGTGGTAGCAGTAAAAATCGACCGATGGATGAGTGTATTGATGTTCGTTGGGGGACAAAAACTGGTCTGCCCCCTATCGATATTTCGCCACTCGGTTGCGGTAAACTCCTCCAATGTTATTGAAATACCAATGCAATTTGGATTGAAATTCGGTACCGAAAGTAGTCTTCGAGTTGAATTAGAAGCTACTTTACCATGAAAATGTTTAGTTTTTAAGATGGAAATTGAAAAAAAGAATGTTCTATGAAAATCGTTTTTCGCACTTACCCGCTCATTAATGATTTCTGTAGGTGCAATTGATACGCTTTTCTTGAATTCTCTTGAATTTCTTGGTTCATTGACTTGCTTTGGGCCGTTGACGGTTCCGTTTTTGTAATCGCTGCCGTTATTTGGCTAAAATATTTGATTTTAGTAGAATTGAGCAGTCACTCATAGGAACTTTGAGTTGAAGAGGAATCCTTATTCGGAATGTTCTCGGCCGCTTTGGCCTTCTTGTTTTTTTCGGAAAGATTTTATTCTGAGCTTAAAATACGAGAACATCCCTTCTAATCAATCCTGCTATGGGATGCGTTAATTTATCAGTTCCAGTCGTTGTGATACTCCAACATCTACTTGCTTATTTCAGAAAATCTAAACGAGTGTCGAAGTTACTTGTAAGGGATCGAACCTACTTCCCAATAGAAGTAGTAATAAAACTAATTGGTTTAATGGAAATTTGTGAGTTGGTAATCATTGTAACCTTTAATCAAGGCACAGTTCACGATGATTTTGGGATATCTAGTTTCAGACGTGTGGAGTTGGTATAGTGACAAGTTGCGCACTATCACACGCGCATGGTCACGGGCTCGGATCCTGGATCGATATTCGCCTAGGCCAACCGAGCCTCCCATCCTTTCAGGATCGGTTAATTGGCGCCAGAGTCGTCTAAGAGGATGAAAACATATACTTGCACATCGGCTGGCTACCGCAAGTCGTTGTATAGGCCACATACGTGTTCAATACGCCACTACGGTTCTATAGGGAAGTAGAATGCGGAGGAGCAACCCTCAGACGGGATCGATCAACGACCTAAGACTCTTTTGAAAATGAAGGAACATTTCACGATGAAAATAGTTTCTGAGATATTTGAGTTGGATAAATCTGTGGCTCCCACGTATACCACATGTAGCGGTGCCAGATCGTAAAACGATGTTATAAGGGTTCGAATATTGTGTCAGTTGTACGCCGCATCCAGGGACGAGCGAGTTTTAATGGGGTTGTAAAGGTTGCACCATTCACAACGAACACCCATGTTGGAAATCAAACAGGTAGTCGTGACCTGTGGCGACAGTTGAAGGCCATGTAGACCGTTTTGGCTTAGTGGTCAGCTACTCAAACATTGCAACGACTAAAATCTCGTCCGATTACACACTCCCCATGCCATTTCCGTCAGATTAGTCCTGTACCCCTGTTTTCACTTTTTTAGGAAGCCTTATTTTTTCGCAATGACGGCGGGTTTTATCGCATTCCACAGATGCACTCAACATTCCGCTTTTCATCTTCGAAAAGGTAACTCAAAATTGTCGTGAACTGTGCCTTCAAACGAAAAATCATATAAAGCAAGCGATGAATCAGAAGTCACACAAGAATGGCGATTTGTGGGCAAAACTTCAGTCTCGGACGGGACTCGAACCCGCACTTGTCCTTTCCGGGGACCGTGCTCTTATCCCTTACACTACCGAGACCCCGCTTGCCCTCGCTTTCTTAATGGCTTATATGCCATAGCTTATCAGCACCCACACGTACAACGTGTTGAGCCGGTCGGCCAATATCAGCACAGAACCGTTAAGCTTTGCCCACAAATCGCCATTCTTGTGAGACTTTCGCTTCGCGTACTGCGGCGGTGAAACAGCAGTTAACAAAGCATCAAGTCAAATCAGAAGTCAATTCTTCCAACCATTCTGACAATGCGAATAGATGACCAATTCAAATTTTCCTAAGTTCCCCAGCTCTTCGAAAATCCCAGTACGCCTATTCAGCGCTAGAGACGGAAATTGAATGTGAACGAATTCCTTATTCTCAAATAGGTTGATTCCGAGCCAATCGTTTTATTCATTTCATGAATTTCAACCTGTTAATACTGTAAATGATGCGATCAGTAAACCAACGATTCCGACCTGTGTGAAGCTGTTGGTGGGCCCAAAAGTTGCTGGTTGATCCGTAATACTAAAAACCTTTTTGTAGGCTTTTTCTCTTGACGTGGAGAAATCGAAAAAGAAAACGAAATATAAAGGATCGATGACCCTGTCAACTAACCTCTCGTCGGTAATAATGTCATTGAAATTTCGTGAATGCGAAGTACTCGTACCGGGTGAATAGCCTTGGAACTGTTCCAATTGGCCTACATTGGAAGCATTGTCACTCATCTAAAAAACATGGAACTTGTATTTTTCAAATTGACCGACTCACAGTAAGACAAGGTCTACGGGTCAGTCATTCCCGTTTTCTGGGAGGCACCCTAGCATTCGACTTCCATTCAGGATCGCAGTGGCGGCTTTGAATACGTATGTGGCCTACGCACTGAATTGCGGTGGCCACGTGATGTACAAGTTAGAGCTTTTATCCTCTCACGGGATTCTACTAAGTGACCGATCTCGGTAGGACAGAAGGTTTGGCTGGCCTTATCAAGTATTGCTTCGAGTTTCGATCCTCGGATCATGCGTCCGTGATAGTGCGCTTCCTGCCATTACACCACCTCTGCACACAGCCAAGCTTGAGAGGCCTGAGATAGGTAAGGGACCTTTTGAGTCACAAAACCAAATAATGGAATGAGGCTAATCATGCCTAGAATGAGGCTAATCATGCCTAACATCTCTGAGGGACAGGTCCGAACAAACAAATAATGTGTGTCTCGGGGGGTAGTGACAACTGTTGCCTATCACCCACGCATGTTCCCGGAGTCGAATCTCGGCTGGACATTCGTCCGAGAACCAAGCCTTCCACCTCGCCAAGGTCGGTCTATTGGAACCAGACTCGTTTGGGATAGTGAATACACTGTCTTGCACATCGTCTGGCCACCGTGAGCAATTGCATAGACCACACACGCACTCATTACACCACTACTATTCTAAATGAAAGTGGAATGCGGGGGCGCGTTCCTCAGATTGGTTTGAATAACGCTAAGGAGCTTATCTTTCATTTATGGGCAGTTTAAGTAAGTGGAGGCAATGAAATGGAATCACAATGGTAAGTCGATGAGCAGAAGTAAAAGGATAAAGTAGTCAACGAAGGCAACGTTCAGAGCGAAGTAAATCGAATAATTAGCATCTAAATCGAGTGAGTAGCATTTAACAAGGGTCGCACTAACAGCTCACAGACATTGCCATTCTCACTGGCTCCGCTCATGATCAGGTACAATTGAATCAGTAACCTTACTGTGTAGTAAAGTGAAGAAGACTGCAGATAGAAGCAATGAAGGTTACTGGGTTGTTTTGAAAGTTTTCGCCAATTATTGAGTTAGTTTATAAGAAAAAATTTCCTAACAATCAAATTCGTTTTTTCGACAATATACACTCTAATTTGCCCAGTAATGATTCGTCATCTTCCAAGAAGTTTCGCAGACCCACGTCTGTTGAAGGCTCCAGAGATGTGATAAAAAAAACTGTTATAGGTGCATTTTGAAGTCCTCCGGAAAATCAAACAATTTTTCCCAAACTGATTCTGCAGGGATCTGAGTAGGTGCTAGTGGCGTGTTGAACTTGTGTGGCCTATACAATGACTTGCGGTGGCCAGCCGATGTACAATTTAGTGATTCTATCCTCCTAGACGACTCTGGTAACATTTAACCGAAACCGGAGGGATGGAAGATCTCGTTGGCCTAGGCGGATATCGATCCTGGATTCGAATCCGTGACCATATATGTGTGATAGTGCGCCACGTGTCACTAAACCACTTCCTTCCAGAAAAAGAAAGCATGACGTGTCGGAAATTCCTTAGATGGACCTCAACTTTGATACCGGCTATAGATAAACAAAACTCAAGGGATCTTGACATACTTGTGGCGGGAATACACAGGACTGTATTTCATTTTGGGAAACTTGCTAAGGTGCTAACTTGTTAAGGTTTCATCGAAGACTTTTTACAATAGTCAGTGGAGTCAAAATTGGCGAAAACCTAACGAACTACCCGATAACACACTTTGGTGAGAAGGACCGTTAGTAGTGAATTAAACGGCATGCTCAGCACTAACACGAAACTATTCAGTATTCACTGCTCTTGATGTTCACATGAATACTCCTTCAGAACGTTTCAAAATGTTTTTCTATAAAAGTGAAAAAGTTCGATTTAAAAAGGGAATCTCCAGCAAATAGATAGAATATATTGTAATCCAAAATGCGTTGGGATTTGGGAAAAATGATGGGTGGAAAACGATTTCAGCTTGTAGCCATACAGTAACGTTGGCATAGTTCTCGATAATTTTGACATTGTTGACATTGTCAATAAAAGAACAATATGGATGAATTGGAAGTAATAGTGGTGGTGGTATTCAGGAACTTCGAATAAATGGGTGACCTCCAGTTTCCCTATTGGGGGCTGCTTTCATAACAAGTGAACATGAAACTCGTCAAGTTCATGCTTGAACGAGCAGGTCAACTTTCCTACTAAAGTGTTATTAAGGAGCGTAGTGCCCATTGAGCCATACAGACGCCGGATTTGACGTTAAACGCACAGATCACAAAAAATGATTCCTGTAATTCCAGATGACACGAAGCTTTCTTCAAGGATGCACTACGGAACACTGTCGGGTCAAAAGATGGCCTAGATAGGGTGTACTTACATCTCAGAGATTAGCTTGACCGAGTCCACATCCAAAAGCGAACGAGTTTCAATGGCGTTGTAGGGTCTGCACGATTTATAAGGGACACCTATGTTGGGCATACAATCAACTAGCTGGTGTGATTCGATCCATGTCAGCGGCGGAAATCAGTTTTGAACATATTTGGCTTGATGTAGTCAGCTCTTTGAACAATTGCATGAAGTGGAAGCTCGCGCAAGAACCTCTTACCGTACAATTCCTGTCACAGATGTTCATACAATCCCTTATTCTCGATACTTTATGGAGACCTTATTTTTCGTGGAACCAGCGACTTTCTCGCTTTTTTTCTGCCCCCCTATACTTTAGTCCTCACCGACACTTTCGCATTTCGACTTGAAAAAAGGTTCATAAAAATTGCCATGAACTGTGCCTCCAATATCCATTACGGTCTAATAAGTCTTTCTTGCGCGTTTTTGGGATAATGCCAAAAATTGTTAGAAGCAAAGCGCTGTTATTGAGGATGAAGAGCAATCTCAGGTCTGTGGAAATCACGAAGGTGGCGTATGCTCAAGATGGATGAGCACTTCATCAGACACGAAGATAGGGCCTAACGTTGAAACACTGCTTCCTGCTATCATTTAGATGGAGGTTCCGTAATATTCACGATTGAAGTCATTCAAAATATTTCGATCGGAGGCCCATGTGAACATCCAAATCGGGAAGATCAGGATTGGCGGATCCTTCTTCATGGTTCATTTGGGTTGATTTTCATGAAATAGGCCACTTTTCCCTCTCCGAATTCCCTTTTCGCTCAGTCTTCCATACTGCGGGAATCTTTCCTCAAAGTCAAGAAACAAACCCTGACGTGGCACTCTGATACGGAGTGATGCCGAGTCGTGAATGGCATGTTGCGCGCGGATAACTAACCTTGTGTGGCCGTGCAAGTGATTGATGTGGAATTCCTCCCATGCAGCCCTTTATTCCGCACCGACTGAGGAACAATCTGTCTTACCCAATTTAGCACTCATAATCAGGGAAACTAACAAGAATAACAACCTCGTTCAACACCACTTAAAGAATATCTTTCACTGTTGCAGCAGATGCTTCGCTGATGAGAAATAATGGACCCGAAAGAAACTAGTTTCTATGAGAATTGATACTGCTGTTGTGATTTTGAGATCTCGAAATGTGGCGTGCTGCTGTCTAGCCATTTGCAAAAGCTATATTCGGAGGTGGCCTGAGCAATTGCTAAGGTTCAGATACATTGTTGTGAGTATATTACTAATTACCCTTTTCTGCATGCTTTACATGGAAGCAGCTTCACGGGCTTGTAAGCCAGTCTTTAGCGTTAGTCAATGCCGTTTCGGGATGCGTCATGCATGCGACTTCCATTGAGAATCATAGAGGTGTTTAGAATGGAAAGTGGCCCGTGTAAAGACTTGCGGGTAGCAAGCCGATGCACAATTCAAAGCTCTCATTCAACCAGAAGACTCCGGTACTGATTAGCCGGCCCCAGAGATATGATAGAAGGCCTGGTTAGTAAGGGAGGGTGTAAGGTATTCGATCCTTGGACCGTGCGCGTGAAAACTTCACGCTTGCGCTGATTGTAGGTTATCGAAAGAGGAGGACAACATTCTTATGATTATGAAACAGTATGAAGTTGGATTGGAAAAAGACCGTTACCGAGAGAAGAAGAAAAGTAGAAATCTTGCAATATAGTTACAGGCTGCTGGGTAAGTTGAAAGCTCAAACGGACAATATGTGACTTTTGCAAAAATTGAGGTACATAGGCGATATCGCTTCCTTTTTTGACTATCAGATACGCTCCTTTCACGGCAAAGCTCACGTCGTGAGCCGCAGAGCCAAATAGCACTAACAAGCATAAAACAAGTCAGAAACGATGTGATAGCTGCCTGAAGGTGACTGGGTAATCTCTTTAAACATGAGATCAGAGATGGTGTTCTGTGGTCAACCAGGCTGCAGAGGTGACGCACACATTCAAAAACTTCTAGAGCAAAAATAGCAGTGGACTTGAGACTACTTTAGCGGAGTCACCTATCCAACGGTCAATCCATAGTAGATGCTTCACAGCTCAGTGACTGAGGTGTGCTGACCCCGATGAGAGATAGTTTTTTTTAGAAATCACGATAAGGAGGGCACCATTGAATATAGTTGTTGTTGACAGGAAAACGATGTTTACTTAATAAGCTGGCAGAAGAAAACATCTCCACTGAGAGCCCAACGAAACGTGCTAGCAGAGCTTTTCAGCCTTTCTTTACAGGTTATTTACTCAAAGCTTACTGAACTTGAGCTCAATCAATGCAGTAAAGGGCATGGAAATGGATGGAAATCTCACGAAATCAATGGTATTACTAGTAGGTTGCAAACTGCAACTAGTTTTCAACCAGGGCTTTTTTGAGCAACTGTAAGAGGTTCGTATTAGCGTCAAACCAGTAGAAGTAGGAAAGTTACCATGGCAAAGTAATGGTAACCAGTCAGTCTATTGAAAATGCATATGATGATTCAAGGCAGAGGTATTCAATATCGGTCGGAAGCGTCTAGATATTAATGAAGCAAATAACAATGACATGAACCTACTGGGGCAGACAT